GTTTTTTACTGTGTGTCACAAGTTATACCCATATTATGCATAAGTTATTTACTGTGTGTCACAAGTTATACCCATATTATACATGAGTTATTTACTGTGTGTCACAAGTTATACCCATATTATACATAAGTTATTTGTGTGCTAAAAAGCACCAGAAATTACAATATATTTTAACCTTTTTCAGAAATGTATTGTATCTTTATTATTATTGATTTAGCAGAACATTGAAACAAAACTTTGTGATTACAGGTGTTACAGTATGGGAACTGTTAACATTTGGCGGTCGGCCTTATGAGAATGTTACATCCCGTGATGTTCCCGATTTACTGGAGAAAGGAGAAAGGCTGCCACAGCCCAGTATATGTACGATTGATGTCTACTTGATGTTGATAAAGTGTAAGAGTTGAATTTTCTTTTAGAAGTGTACTTCATTCAATTACCATTACTAAATATTTTCAGTATTTTACTATAACTGTATGTTTATGTTCATTTTTTATTTCTGTCTATTAATCTCATTTCTTCAAAGGCTGGCTACTAGATGCTGAATCTCGGCCTTCCTTCAAAGAACTAGCTGAGGAGTTTGCTAAGATGGCACAAGATCCTGGACGATACCTGTACGTAGCTGGGGATAAACTGAGGAAAGTTCCAAGCTATATCCCCCAGGATCAGGGGACGGTATCCTCTGAAATGAGTAGGGTAAGTTTGCCAGATATTGGAGAATATCTGAAGCCAAATTCCCGGAAAAACAACTTAAATAGTTCTACTAAAGTATATAATATTGTACGGTTCTGTTTGCTAACAATAAGGTTTACTTACAGCCAGTAGTTTGGTTGTTACGTGAAACGGTGTATTGCCTATATATTATGTTAATTAGAAGAGTGATGCCTTACATTAGATAAATGTATATCTCCCTAGACTTCAAATATGAAATGTTTATTATGAAGGTAGTGTTTGTAATGGAATGAAACACATACAAATAGCCGCTACAACCAGTGTTGAAACACATAAACGATTTGATTGAACTTTAACAAATGCAGAAGTCAAAATTTAAACTTTTGAACAAACATTTTTGACACACCATGTTAATACAAACATCATTTGACTTCATGGAATACATACTGATTGTATTTATGTTAAATTTGGCTGTTTAATAAAATGATATATATATACAGAAACACAAAATAACATTATTTGGATAAATAAAACACCCTAACTTAGTGAGAGTCTTTATTGTAATAGTAATACATAACTTAAGTGTATTGATGTTGAGCCTGTTATATTTATATCACTGTTGCTTTTTTATTGTTAGAAGTTTGGTGTAGAAGATCAAGATTTTGATAGTAATCCAGAGGACAACCTAATTATACCTATGGTTATAGCGAAGAGACCAGACAGAATGTGTCGAAACTTGGAAGCAGCTTGTCCAAACTATCGTGCAAGAAAAAATAGTGATCGGTACTGTTCAGATCCTCTCAAAGTTCTTCAAAAAGGTAAGCCTGAAAATAGATGATACTGGTTAGATTCAGAGTACAAGAAATTACTAGTTTTTTTTTATTTGTAACAAGCTCTTGATAAATATTACTTAAGTGTTATTTAAATATTATTGTTCTGCTCCAGCAGTGACGTAGTTAACACTGTGCAAAGCTTGATATTTAAAATGCTATATATCAAGTATCGTGGAACTAAACTGATGAAAAAATTAAAACGTCCTTTTTAAGACATTCGTAGGGTATCACATTTTTATGATTTCCTTACAGATCAAGAGAAGATTGTGGAAACCAAGAACACTTCATTAAAAGACGACATTCTCCAGCCAGTAGATGAGGAGGATTATTTGATACCTTCACCTCAGCCGTGCAGTCAATCACCTGTTTATATGGATCTTATTGGAGACACTAACTTATCAGGTTAGATTGTTTATAAAATATGAACTCACGAAAATACAAGACCACTTTAAAAGTTCTTACAAATTAAAAACATATTTTGATATTAGCTCATGCTTTAATTAGAGGTAAATATATTTTATCATTACTGAAAAATCACTCTTTATCTTGATGTACAATATAAGGATCGTAATATTTTTGTTTCAAAGAATTTATTTTGACAGATACTGAAGAGTTTCTCTTTCTATTAAAACTCAGGTCGTGGAGCTACAAGTTCGCAGTGTTATTCTCCCCGCATGCCAGAAGACAAAGTGGATAAACTGATGAAAAAAAATCGTGATTACATCAACATACGAACAGTGTCGCAGAAAAATAAAGACAATGAGGAAGACACTGATGATCAAGAGGGTTTTACCCATTTTGATCAACTGACACAAGAGCTTCAACCTTTGAATCACAGAGAAGCAAGACAATAGTCTGAACCTTTTTGATGTGACCACCGACATTTTATAATAGTTCAAGTTCTTGCCAAATCTTTTATAAATCATGTGATCTATAGTACAGTAGCTACTGCGGTCTGCAGAGAAGTCGAACATTTATGTACCAGTTTCATGTTTGAAAATGTGGTTTTTTTTACAGCATGCATTAAAAAATAAGCTATATAAGACCATGAAACTCAAACCTTCAAGTGTTACAGGCATCAGGGTATTTATGCATAGTTAATGTGTCTTTAATTTCAATATATGTACATTCTTTAATTCTGTGCTCTTACGAGAGTTTTTGTTTCACCTGTTTCTGTTGTACTTGTGTTTATTTGTAAAAGGTACATCCGGCTTTAAAATATGCAGGTACGGGATGTTTGGCCAAATGTATTTCAAGTACTAATTTACAACATGTGGTTGAGTAAGTGACTATTCACACCTCATCTGTATGTAGAGAAAACAGGTGTTGTAACATTTACAGTGTTTATCTTTTGAAAAAAAAATTACAAAAAAAATATGCATGTCTTGCAAAATTATAACTTTTTGGGTGTTTTTAATTGCAACAACTTAAATTTTTTTATCAGTTTTGATTTTATGTGATTGTAATTAGAAGTATTTTGATTACAGATTGTTGTTTTTCAACTTCTTGTTGCTGCTTTCTTTATATTTGAAGTTCAACTGTATTCAGCCACCTTGCACTTGTGAATCTTATTGATAAAATTCACAGAAAATATTACAATTAGCTCAATGGGATTTTAAATCAGATTAATGGGAACATCTCTGTAAAACCCACAATTGTTGAAAATTTCTGTTGTCATGCGTAACATACAGTTAATGATTCATAAATTATAGAAGTTTAGGCTAAGTAACACCAGGGGGTATAACATGTCTTCTATACAACTAATGAAAAATTACAGTAGTTTAGGCTAAGTAACACCAGGGGTATGACATGCCTTCTATTCAACTAATGAAAAAACATGGTAGTTTAGGTAAAGTAACACCAGGGGTATGACATGCCTTCTATACAACTAATGAAAAATTACAGAAGTTTAGGCTAAGTAACACCAGGGGGTATAACATGTCTTCTATACAACTAATGAAAAATTACAGTAGTTTAGGCTAAGTAACACCAGGGATATGACATGCCTTCTATTCAACTAACGAAAAACATGGTAGTTTAGGCAAAGTAACACCAGGGGTATGACATGCCTTCTATTCAACTAATGAAAAAACATGGTAGTTTAGGCAAAGTAACACCAGGGGTATGACATGCCTTTCAGATATTACTGATAACTATTCTCCTTATCAAAACACTACATTATTATCAAAAGTTTTTTGTTTTCATTATTCTGTCACTTAACAGTTTTTTTAGATCATATTTTATTCTCCAATAAAGAAATGAACTGATGCAGATACTGTTCTGTTGTGTTAATTCTTTACTAACTTAATCCAAGTAACAGGTATAATTATTATATAACTGGTCTTTAAAATCACAGACTAAGTCGTTAGTAGAAGATTTATATGTCTTCTGAATCGTCTTAATCGAAACCATTAAAATGTTGACCACAGTTGTTTCTCTACTCTTGGTATTTCTGTCTCCCCCATAAGGTTTGTTTGTTTGAAGTTAAGCACAAAGCTACACAATGAACCATCTGTGCTGTGTCCACTACCGATATCAGATATCGAAACTCGGTTTCTAGTTCTGTGCCTTCTTTCTTTCTAACATTTACATTTGTATGCAACTCCCTACTGATTGTCGTAAAACGTGAAGAGCGTATACCCTAGTCCAATACACATTTTGTTTATTTGAGCACCCATTCTGATTTTAGAGAGTCAAAGGTCAAACATTACAAAACAGATTTTGACCTCAGTTCTCTTATATTTCTGTTAATCCAAAGATAACGTGCAACAAACTAAAGCAGACAAATTTAGGATTTGTACCTTTCTTTTGATTTTACAGGGGTCAAACTAAAGCAGACATATTTAGGATTTGTACCTTTCTTTGTATATTACAGGGGTCAAACTAAAGCAGACATATTTAGGATATGTACCTTTCTTTTGATATTACAGGGGTCAAACTAAAGCAGACATATTTAGGATTTGTACCTAAAGGTCAAAATATTTCTTTCAAATTTTGGTCTCCCATTCCTCTATATTTCGGTCGGTCTAGATTAGACTGGACAAGGATAACCCTCACTGACTGCAGCAGACATATTGAGGTTGGTCAAGTTCTTTTGATTTTACAGGGGCCAAGGAACCAAAGGTTTTACAATGTATGTACTAAGGAGTTCTGAACCTAGTGACATTATCTGCATGTCTAAGCATTACAAGGGGTGTTGTTGGTGTTATAAGTATTTTGATTTGTTAAATGCATGAAATATCTTATTTACTCAAAGATTTTCCTCAAAGGTTTTTTTTTATAGTGAACAAATCTAATTACACGAAAACTGACTGTGCTATGTATTATAAGGTCGCCATTTTGTATATATATATATATCTTTCTCACGAAGTAGTTTATTGGAAAGATTGTTTTGGGTTATTTGGTAAAAATAATGTTCAGTCCATGTAATAGTCATTGATAAATTTGATTCTTTCAATAACGTTTGTTACAGAACAGGTACGCTAACTCTCATTGATTACCAATTAACTGATTAACTAAAATACTCCCTAAGTCTGGAATTTATATTGTTCACGTGACTGGTCATTTTCAGTCAAACATAAATGATGTCCCAAACAAAAACACTATCTGCTTTATCACTAGAGGGCGCTGCTGTCGACATTCTTGCAGAACGTACAGCAGTACCTCCTAGGGACAATACAGGTATTACCTGCAGAGAGAAACATTAAAAAACAACAAGGGAACTTTTGGTCCATATAGGCTGTTACAGTAAACCAAAACACATTTTAAAAGCAAGTTTTTATCATTCAAATATTTATCAAGCTATCCTTTAAATTAACTGAATCCACCATATACGAAGGCAACCCGTTCCAGAGGCCAACCACCCCTATTTGAAAAAGGAAACTGTCTTAACTTAAGATGACCTTTTTCCCTACCAAAATTTATACTTGTGTCCCCTAGTCCTACAGTTCTCGCCGTTACGTGTCAGTTCTTTTTACACTCTTAAACACCACATAAGAAAACAAGTTTAGATATCTTAACCTATCTTCATATGATAACAGTTCCATCATAATAACCCTTTTCAACAATTCAGTGTCCTGTCTGAGGTAAAGAACCGACTCAACACAATACTCCAAATGTGGCCTAACCAATAACGTATACAATGACATTATAGCCTCTTTTTCAGTTTGTATCTCTATATAAATAAAATAAGAGTATTGTCTGTACATTGCTTAGAATAGTGTACTTTTTGCATATTTTTACGTTTCATACACCAGAGAAGCCGAAACAAGCCTTATCTCAATTTCTGTTTGTCGGTAACGCTCGCGGACGTGTGTTTGTTCGCTTTTCACAGGGAAACGAGTGCACCGTTTTCGATGAAACTTTTTTCTTTGTTTTATAGATGCGTGAGAAGATTATAGGCTACTTGGATTTTTGGAATTCACCTT